GCTGCTGCAGAGACTCCCAGCAGTGCTGGGAGCCTTTTCGGCTGTCTCCACTTGCGGGCTGCTGCATGCGACAGTAGCTGCTGCTCGCAGCAGCGCAGCACAGCAGCAGCAGCAGCAGCAGCAGCAGCAGCAGCAGGCGTTTTGTTCCTCACTGGGCGCGCGTCAGCACCCTCAGGAGCGGTGGCTGCAGCGGCTGCAGCAGCAGGTGCTGCAGCTGCGGGACCAGCAGCAGCTAGGAATCCATAAGGCCTGGCAGCAGCACTATTTGCTGCTGCTGCAGCAGCTGCTTCAGGCAGCCCCTCAAGCCATTGGCGGGGCCAATCCCGCGCAGCTTTCTACCCTGGTGCACGTACGTTAGCTGCTGCAGCAGCAGCCGCAACACAGGCAGCAGCAGCAGCAGCAACAGCAGCAGCAGCCTTCTCTTGTGGCATTTCTGTCTCTGTGTCTTTTCAGGATGTGAGTCTGCTGGCGGCCGAATGCGAAGCTCAGCTGCAGCAGCTGGCCCGGGTCCCGCAGCAGCAGCAGCAGCAGCAGCAGCAGAAGCGGCAGCAGCAGCAACTGCTGCTTAGGAACTTGCTGCAGCAGGTGCATGCGCTGCTGCTCGTCGCCTTAAGGAACTCTGCTGCACAAGCTGAGGCCTTTTCAGCCAGAGACATAGCTCTGCTGCTGTCCTCTCTGGCGCGGCTTTGTGGCACGCCTGAGTCAGCAGCAGCAGCAGCAGCAGCAGCAGCAGATTTAGGCAGAGCAGCAACAGCAGCAGCTGCTGCTGCCGCATCAAGGAAAGACTCAGAGCAAGCTGGAGGAGACGCCGGTGTGCTCCGAAGCAGTGAGACCACAAATGCGGCAGCAGCAGCAGCTGCTGCTGCTGCTGCTGCTGCGCCTCGTGCTGCTCCTGCTGCTGCTGCGTTGCGTGCTGCAGCAGCAGACTTGCTGCCTGCAGTGTATGTACAGCTCAACCGCGTGCTCCAGCAATGCAACAGCAAAGACACGCTGGCTCTTCTTGGGGCGCTGCCTCGTTTGTGGTCTTTGGAATGTCTGCTGCTGCAGCAGCAGAGACGGAGGCAGCAGCAGCAGCAGCAGCTTGCTGCTGCTGCTGGCTTGCTGCGGGTCGCCCCCAAGTGGGTGGCCACTTGGGATGTCAAGCAGCTTGCTGCTGCAGCAGCAGATGCACACCGCATTTGCTGCTGCAGCCCCTTGCCGCTGCATGCATTAGCGCAGCAGCTGTTTCAGCAGCTCGCGCCGCAGCTTACTAGCCGCTTGGCGCGTCGGCTGCAGCAGCAGCAGCAGCAGCAGCAACAGCAGCAGCAGCAGCAGCAGCAGAAAGTTAAAGATGCTGCTGCTGCCAACCTACTGGCAGAAGCAGCTGCGAGGGGAGACCTCCGCGCCTGGAAGCCTTCAGATTTCGAAATGACGGCTCAGGTAGGGTTTAGGGTTTAGGGTTTAGGGTTCAGGGTTCAGGGTTTGGCGTTAAGAGTTTAGAGCTTAGGGTTTGGGGTTCAGGGTTTAGGGCCTAGGGCTTGGGGTTCAGGGCTCAGGGCTAAATGATTGTGGCAAGGCCGTGAGACATGATATAACTGCTGCTGCCGCTGCTGCTGCTGCTGCTGCTGCAGCAAGCCATGTCGCTTTGGGTTTCTTTGCTGTCTTTTTTGCTTCCTTCGGATGGCCGAAGCAGCAAATGGGAAGGGCTGCTGCTGGCGGTGGAGGGTTTGCTGGTGTCAGCATTAAGTCCCTCGCCGGGGAAGGAGCAGCAGCAAGAGCTGCTGCTGCTGCAGCTGCTGCAGCAGCAGCAGCTGCCGTCAGCGCTGCAGGCCCTCAGGGACCTGCCGCCTCCAGGGGACCCCAGCTTAACAGGGAGCTGCATCGTTCGTGGCATTGCTGCTGCTGCTGGTGGGGGGCTGCTGCCACAGGGCCTTGCTGCTGCTGCCGCACCTGCTACTGCAGCTGCTGCACCTGCTGCTGATGTTGCTCGCCTGCCGCTGCTGCCGCTGCTGCTGGCGCGGTGTGAGCAGCAGCTGCCTCTCCTTGGCAACAAAGACACCTTCACTCTCTGCCGAGCCCTGCTGCGGCTTGCTGCCTCCCCTTCGTCCCGCAGCAGCAGCAGCAGCGGCAGCAAGGCTTTAGAGAGAGGCGCAAGAGCAGCTCTTCTATCTTCGCTAGCTTCCTTGCTGCTGCAGCAGCAAACGGGTGAGCTGCAGCAAGTCAGGTCTTAGGCTGGAGCTGCTGATTAAAGCCCCACTGCTGTGCTTTTGTGCTGTTTGCATTTGCTGCTGCAGCTGCTGCTGCAGCTGCTTCTGCAGCCTGGGATCCCTCGCAGTCTCTGCTGCTGCTTGAGTGCTTCTCCCCTGCGGTCTCTGGAGAGCTTCTGCCCCCCAGCGAGCAGCAGCAGCAGCAGCAGCAGCAAGTGCTGCTGCTTCAGCAGCTACTTGAGGGGTTCTATACCCGCTGCCACTCCTACAGTGTAACGGACATTTCCCGGTGTCTGCGCTGCCTGCTGGAACACCCGCACACTGCAGCAGCAGCAGCAGCAGCAGCAGCGGCAGGCGCTGCTGCTGCTGCTGCTGCTGCAGGAAACCCAGTTGAAGCAGCAGCAAGCGGGGCAACGCTGCTGCTGCGGCAGCTAGCTTACCACTTGCGCTGGAAGCTGCTGCGCTGCTGCCCTTTTGCTGCTGTGGAGGCCCTCGAGCTGTATGTACGCTTCGCCCCAAAGCTGCGGCAGCTGCAGCAGCTGCAGCAGCTTTCACCTTTGCTGCTGCTGCAGCTGCAGCTGTCGCTGCAGGAGGAAGCTGAGGCGGAGAAGCAGCGACAGTTCCAGCAGCACCTGCCGCCCCAGCAGCAGCAGCAACAGCAGCAGCA